TCTCTTGTATGTTTCCAGACCAAGTATAGCACGTGTGCTATTATTCACGGTTTCATGTATCCACTGAGATGGGGTCTTAGAATATATTCCATGCGGACACATAATTCAAGTTGTATTTTTTCTCATACCAGACTCAGTCCAGTCTCCCTTCGTTTCTTGCTCTCTCTCCATCTCTCCCTCCATGAGGCCAAACATACCAGGAATAAAAACCACACAACTAACCAGGCATGTAGCCGGGGGGGGGGGGGGGGGACTTGGGGGCTTCCCCCCCCCCCGAAATTCTCATGGTGGTCCGCGAGAAGGCCTTACTGGTACATTATTTAAACTGTTATGTTTATTCATATCATGATCTGATCACCATGCTCAATATATCCCATATGCATGGGGGTATTGGGGTAACAATACAAAAGGTTTGCTAGGGTAGACCCTCTTTCACTCAGACTCAGCCCCCCCCCCCCAAATCAAACTCAGCTCCCCTCAAATCAAAATCCTGGCTATGGGCCTGCAACTAACCCAAAGTTCCTCAAAGTGGACAAGAGCAAAGCAGACAAAGTGGAGAAAAGCAAAGCAGGCAGCCATCTCACAAAGCGGACAAGAGCATGAGGCTTGGAGGCTGCTCCCTTGAAGCCCTGGACTCTGACATTAGCTGTTAACTCAAAATACTGTTCTTATGTCAAAGTGAAATCCAGGGTGAGCGATGGCTCTGAACTCAAAATGCTCTTAAGTTGGGACACTCTTAAGCAGAAATTCTACTCTACTTTGCCCCTAATTACCAATGGAATATGTTTACATCCTGCTTCACTAGAAAACAAATTTCTAGATTCTTTTGAGCCAGTTCAGACAGACTTGTTTGTCCATTCCTTACAAGGCAAGATGACGCTACACACAAGTTTCATGTGCTGCCAAAGCTGTGTTCTCCTACTGTTTCGTAAAAGCTGAATGCTATGGATGAAGGGAGACAATATGTGTGATTGTATAGAAATTGTGTAAATGCGCCCTTGAAATGTCTCTTTGGAAATGTTCAAACAGAACCAATCATCCCATAAAAATTCAAAAGAGGAACCAGCAGGTCACAAACATGATAGAAAGGTTGTTAAAGAGGAAGTGTGACTGTGGAAAGTGAAGGATAGGAAACAGTGAAAGTTAACACGTAAGGTGACAATGTGTAGCAGAAACAGAGTTCCCCTCATCTAAGGCCTGGTTCTCTCTTCTCTGGTCTGCAAGTCTCAGGGTGAAAATGTTGCCTTGAAAATATGCTTTAAAATAAACTAAGTGCTGTTGCCCCACCAATAACAGATGTGACTTTGGAACACCAGTGTAGATTCTCGCAGATCCCTTTGACTCCCTTCCTTCCTCTCTTCTCCCTCTGAGGCCCCTTCTACACTGCCATATAATCCAGATTATCAAATCAAACAATCCACATTGTCTTCTGCAAACTGGATTACTTTATTTTGCCTTATTGTAACTTCCTGGGCTTGGCCCAGTGTTAGCCGCCCCAATGGTGGCGGGGTATAAATAAAGTTATTATTATTATTATTATTATTATTATTATTATTATTATTAGAAACACAACAAGGTGAGTCCGCAGCAGACACTCTGCTGGCTGTTAAATTGGATCACACGTTGGACACTTCCCAAGTGTCTAGGACTGTGTGATGTATCGGTGAATAATGGGTGCAGATCCCAGTAAGGTGGCCTTTTGCAGCTGGCAGATGGTCATTTTGTCAGCGCTGATTGTGTTTAAGTGCAGGCCAAGGTCTTTAGGCACTGCACCCAGTGTGCCAATCACCACTGGGACCACCTTGACTGGCTTGTCCCAGAGTCTTTGCAGTTCGATCTTTAAATCCTCATATCGTGTCAGCTTATTATTATTATTACTATTGTTACTAATGTTACTATTGTTATTATTATTATTATTATTATTATTATTATTATTATTATTTATTAGTCTACTTTGCCATATAATTCAGTTCAAAGCAGATCATCTGGATTTTATATGGCAGTGTGGAAGGGACCTCAGTAGGTTTTAATGGTTGAATTGGGATCCGAACCCCAATCTCCAGACCAATGCTCAGACCACTAAAAGGTGAAATTATGATGGAAACCATCGTGTTTTCACAAAACATGGAGGCTGCCTTCTTCAGGCTATTTACTCCTGAATGGAGCCTCAGGTGGCGCAATGGGTTAAACCTTTGTGCTGGGAGGATTGCTGACCAAAAGGTCGGCGGTTCAAATCTAGGGAGCAGGGTAAGTTCCCGTCTGTCAGATCCAGCTTCTCATGTAGGGGCATGAGAGAAGCCTCCCATGGGAAGGTAAAACACCCGGGCATCCCCTGGGCAACGACCTAGCAGACAGCCAATTCTCTCACACCAGAAACGACTTGCAGATTCTCAAGTTGCTCCTGGCACAAATAAAACCCCTCTCCATTGGGATTACTACTGTCTCATTGAGGACCCAGAAACTAAAACAAATCTGCAAACACTATTCCAGATATAAACTAAAGCTAATGTGGCAAGGGGAAGGAGCTTTAAGCAGGCTGTATAGCTGAATTTCTGTAAAATAACATTTCTGAAAGATAAGATGCCGAAGGAAGGAGTGAATGTCTGTACTTCTGTGAGATTACCAATTCTTTTAAAAGGAGCTGCTCAAGGTTAAATTTGTTTATCTGTTTGACATCGAGAGGGCAGCTGCGCACCATGGATCAATTGATTTGCAGAGAAATAATTGTTCTCCCAGACAAAATCCAATATATAGTGTGTGCATTTTTTTTTAAAAAAAAACTGCTTTAAGCCTCACTCAATTCACCCTTCAGCATAGCCTTCCTTTTTATTAATTCTGAACATTTTCCTGCACTTCCTTCTTTCTATATATTCAAATCACAACCGATTCCCCCCGCCCCCCAACAGTCAAATCCATAATACATTTCCTGCCCCTGGTAGGGGAGGAGAGAGGAGAGGAGCTTCATGCACGCATTTAACTAATGATAATTTTAACAAACAGTGTTTTGGACCACCCTGAGGGTAGATCCTGATTTTACAGGATATTATTGCGCTAAGGATGGAACAACGGGGGTTTGCTGTAAATAATAAAAAAATAATAATAGGTTTTATTTATATCCCGCCCTCTCTCGCAGAAGGGACTCAGGGTGGCTTACAGCAGGTAACTGTTAAAATAATACCCAAAATATACTACATAGGTCAAATTGACATAGCTTAAAATAGAACCATTGCAATGACTGAAAACATGTAAGAACATAATATAACATCAACATCAAAAATAGCTGCTCTTGCTGGAATAAAAACATTACAAATATTAATATTTTACATAATATATATATATATATATATATATATATATATATATGTATAATATGTAAAATATTAGGTACATAGGATATATATGTATACTATAATATTATATTATTATTATTATTATTATTATTATTATTATTAAACTTTATTTGTACCCCGCTAGCATCTCCCAAGGGATTCGATGCGGCTTACAACAGGCCGGAGCCCAACACAACACAATACAACAATACAATATATAGCAAATGAAACAGTTATATGTGAGTGTGTAAAATACTAGGTTATATATAATATATATTTATATAATATTTATATGGGATATAGATGTAAAATGTTAGGTACATAGGATATATATATATGTATGTATGTACGTATAATGTAATGTTATATATAGAATATATATATTTATATAATATTTCTATAGGATAGATATGTAAGATATTACATAGGATATATATATAATATGTATATATATAATATTTATATAGAATATATATGTAAAATATTATATAGGATATATATATAATATGTATATATTTATATAATATTTCTATAGGATATATATATATATATATATATATATATATATATATATATATATATATGAGATTTATATAGGATATATATAAAATATTAGGTAGGACATATATTGAACATATATGTGTGTGTATATATAATATTTCTATAGGATATATATGTAAAATATTATGTAGGATATATATAATATATAGTTATATAATATTTATATAGAATGTATATGTAAAATATTACATAGGATATATATATGTATATATTTATATATTTCTATAGGATATATATGTAAAATATTACATAGGATATATATATATATATATGTGAGATTTATATAAGATATATATATATATATATAATATTAGGTAGGACATATATAGAATATATATGTGTGTATATATAATATTTCTATAGGATAGATATGTAAAATATTACATAGGATATATATATCATATGTATGGATATAACATTTCTATAGTATATATATGTAAAATATTAGGTAGGATATATATAGTATATAGTATATATATATATTTCTAGGAGATTTATATAGGATATATATGTAAAATATTAGGTAGGATATATATATATACAGAGAGAGAGAGAGGAGATTTATATAGGATATATGTATATATTAGGTAGGATATCTATAGTATATATATATATATATTATAATATTAATATAGTATCTATATGTAAAATATTAGGATATATATATATATATATATATATATATATATATATATATGTAATATTTATATAGGATCTATGTGTAAAATATTAGGTACATAGGATATCTCTCTCTCTCTCTGTGAAGAAGGAAGACCAACGGGCTCCCCTTCCTCCTCTTGTTCTGCGTTGCTTGCTTCCCTCCATTCAGCTAACCCTGGGCGAAAAAGTTTCTTTCAACTTTTCCAGCGGTGGAATCCTCCTAAGGCAGGCCCCGCCCACATTCCTCCCCGCCCCTCCCCTCCTTTGATCGCCCTGCCCAATCCCGAGCCGAGTTGTGGAGACAACAGAGCGCGCCATTGGCCGGAGCAGGGGTTCGGAGACCCCGCCCCTTGCTCGGTCTTGTGAATGGAGAAGGGGAGAAAGGGGCGGGGCTGGAGAGAACGCTCAGCCATATAGGAGCCTTTTTTTTCCCTCGCAGAGAGAGAGAGAGAGAGAGAGAGAGAGAAGGAGAGAGAGAGAAGGAGGGCGGGCTAAGGGCGCATTCCTTCTCTGGATCTGGATCCCTGCGGAGGGGCCGAGGGAGCGATCGCCAGGCGGAGGGAGACTCCCAAGCGGCTTTCCTTGGAGCCTTTGCATTGAAAAGCGAGGAGAAGCTGCCGAGAAGTCCCGGAGGAGGAGGCGGAAGGGCGCTCTTGGGAGTGTGGGGCTTCTCCACGCGAGGAAACTTTTGGAGGTGGGTCTTCCAAGAGAGACAGAAGGGAGACCTGCTTTGGCTTTGGAGAGGCGCCCTGGTGCTTCTCCCTCCTGGCGGGAGTCCAAACAGGCAGCGATCCGGTTTGGCTTCTTCTGGAAGGCTCCTCCTGCTGCTGAGTGGGCGATGCCTTCGGGGCCCTGAGTGGGAGAAGCAGCAGCACCATCCTCTGACAATCCTCCTGCATCCTTCTCCTCTTTGGCTTCTTCCCCACCCCCCAATGCTCAGGGCAGCAGCCATGGGCCTGTGGGGTCTGCTGGCCTTTGCCTGGCTGGTGCCCCATGCCAGCCGTGGGCAGCCTTCTTCTTCTTCGCAGGGCGAGAAGGGCATCTCGGTGCCGGACCACGGCTTCTGCCAGCCCATCTCCATCCCCTTGTGCACCGACATTGCCTACAACCAGACCATCCTGCCCAACCTGCTGGGCCACACCAGCCAGGAGGACGCCGGCCTGGAGGTGCACCAGTTCTACCCGCTGGTCAAGGTGCAGTGCTCCCCGGAGCTGCGCTTCTTCCTCTGCTCCATGTACGCCCCGGTCTGCACCGTCCTGGAGCAAGCCATCCCGCCCTGCCGCTCCCTCTGCGAGAGGGCCCGCCACGGCTGCGAGGCCCTCATGAACAAGTTTGGCTTCCAGTGGCCCGAGCGCCTGCGCTGTGAGAACTTCCCCGTCCACGGCGCTGGGGAGATCTGCGTGGGACAGAACACCTCCGACACCTCATCCTCCGGGGGGGGAGGAGGGCGTGGAGCAGGCGTCGCCCCGGGGAGCCCTGCCACCGCCTCGTACCCCACAGAACACTTACCCGGACCCCCTGTTCACCCGCTGCCTCCCACCACCGGCCATGCCACCTTCACCTTCTCCTGTCCCCGGCAGCTCAAGGTGCCCCCGTACTTGGGTTACCGCTTCCTAGGTGAGCGGGATTGTGGCGCCCCGTGTGAGCCCGACCTGCCCAACGGAGGACTCATGTACTTCAAGCAGGCCGAGGTCCGCTTTGCCCGCCTGCTGGTGGGTATCTGGTCGGTGCTTTGCTGCGCTTCCACGCTCTTCACCGTCTTGACTTACTTGGTGGACATGCGGCGCTTCAGCTACCCCGAACGGCCCATCATCTTCCTCTCTGGCTGCTACTTCATGGTGGCTGTGGCCTATGTGGCTGGCTTCCTGCTAGAGGACCGTGTGGTGTGCGTGGAGCGCTTCTCGGAGGATGGCTTCCGGACAGTGGTGCAGGGCACCAAGAAGGAGGGCTGCACCATCCTCTTCATGATCCTCTACTTCTTTGGCATGGCCAGCTCCATCTGGTGGGTCATCCTCTCGCTCACCTGGTTCCTGGCGGCCGGCATGAAGTGGGGCCATGAGGCCATTGAGGCCAACTCCCAGTACTTCCACTTGGCCGCCTGGGCTGTGCCAGCCATCAAGACCATCACCATCCTGGCCATGGGGCAGGTGGATGGAGACGTCCTCAGCGGGGTGTGCTATGTGGGCCTCTACAGCGTGGACGCCCTGCGGGGCTTCGTCCTGGCCCCACTCTTCGTCTACCTCTTCATTGGCACCTCCTTCCTGCTGGCCGGCTTTGTCTCCCTCTTCCGCATCCGGACCATCATGAAGCACGACGGCACCAAGACTGAGAAGCTGGAGAAGCTGATGGTGCGCATCGGGGTCTTCAGTGTCCTCTACACCGTGCCGGCCACCATCGTGCTGGCTTGCTACTTCTACGAGCAGGCCTTCCGGGACACCTGGGAGAAGACCTGGCTCCTGCAGAACTGCAAGAGCTACGCCATCACTTGCCCCGCTGCCAACTTCGCCCCCATGAGCCCCGACTTCACAGTCTTCCTCATCAAGTATCTCATGACCATGATTGTGGGCATCACCACCGGCTTCTGGATTTGGACTGGCAAGACCCTCCAGTCTTGGCGGCGCTTCTACCACAGACTCAGCACTGGGAGCAAAGGAGAGACGGCAGTATGAGACCTAGACTTGTACTCCTATAGTTTGCCGGCCCTTTCCCACACGGCTGTTCTTCCTTCTTGTGGCGAAGGCATTGCCTGAAGGAAAGAAGGAGGGTGGCTGTGATGTGTGTGTGTTTGCGTACGTGCAAAGGGGTCCGTTGTTCCTTCATACTCTGCCTTTACTTCTTTCCAAGGGATGGTTGGATTTCTACGTGCGGCAAACATCCCAACTTGGTCTCTCTCTTTCTCTTCAAATGTTTACCTTGCTAGCCAAGTTGGAGAGTGCAGAATAAGTGTCCTTCTTAAGACTTTGCTCTTCAGAACAGGTCTGTTTCTGATCCTGTGAGAATGTCTTTACTTTCCTTTACTTGTTCCCCCCACCCTGCACCCCAACCCCTTTTAGAAAAGAAAAAGAAGAAAGACAAATAACTGAAAATGCGATTCAAAGAGAAATGTGGGAATTATGCCAACGGGAAAGGAGAGGGAGGGAGAAGTGAAGGTTTACAAACAAAACAGAAATTAAGTCACATTTCTGTCTCTGGGATGGCAAACTGGACTTCCAGTAACTCATCCTCTCAAAATATAGACCCAAGAGGTGCTTTGTCTCCCTCCCAGCCCTCCGTACAAAGAACAGAAATGGAGCAGCTGCTCCGAAAATTTCCCCATCAGTAGCTATACTGGTTGGGAAGATTCTGGATATTATAGGAGAGTGGGTGGTAATCACATATGGATGACAATTTCCAGAACCCAAAGGCAGAGATGCCCTGAAAACTCTAGTTAAAATAATTACTGTTTTGGATGGCATCTCCAACTGGTGGCCATTGGATTTTGGGAGTTTTCATCTAGTAAGATAACCTTTTCCCCAAGCTCTAGGACAATCATGGAATAGATGAGAGACCGAAACAATCCAAAGCCACTTGTAGGATTGCAGGGAGCAACTGTGGCCAAGGTCTTCATTGGAAAGTTAGCTGGGTGGGCAAAGATGGTATGAAAAGGTGATCCAGCACCCAAAAGGGGAGCTTTTAAGCCAGATCTGGCAGAGCCACACATTCAAGTTGCAGCCATGGTGTGTCAGGGCCCTTCCACACAGCCATATAACCCAGAATACTTAGGCAATCCCTCGTTGTCTGAGTAGGATTGTCTTCCAAGATCAGTGTACTGGCGATGTGTCCTTAGGTGACTGTGGAGCCCTATTCTTGATCTGCATGTTCTCCTGCAGTGAGGGCATTGGTTTCCAGGTGGAAGGTGGTCCCAGTCAGGGTTGGCTTGATGTGCCTTCCTCTTGGCACGTTTCTCTCTTTTGTGCCTCTTCAAATTCTACAGCACTGCTGGTCACAGCTGACCTCCAGCTGGAGCGCTCAAGGGCCAGGGCTTCCTAGTTATATCAAGGCAGATAGTCCACAATATCTGCTTTGAACTGAGTTATCTGAATCCACACTGCTATGTACTCTAGTTAAGTGTGGATTTTATACAGCTGTGTGGAAGGGGCCTCAGAGGCTTATAGCTGAGGGGTTGTTTCCTCACAAGGAGGGATGTGTCTTGTGTTGTAACCAGGCACTGCTTGTGGATGTTAGAGTTGTGACCAACTCTTTAGGGGCCGAACATTGCCGCCCAGGGTTGCATAGGATGGTTTTGCTCACTCTTTGCTTCTTGAGATAGATGCTACCCCAGCCTTGAGTCCAATTTCTTTAGTTTGAAGCCATTTTTTTGGACGACGTTGGCTCCTCCAGCAGGAACAGAATGCACGCTGAGCAATTTCTTTGTGGAAGGCAGCAGCTCTCATTTGAACCTCCTGGAAAGTTTGCCACTACAAATTAATACATGGCTCTTTCCTTTTAATTTCACGCTGTCATAAATATGCTCAGTCTCTTTAGAGCCGGAGCACTCACAGCCAAAATCCTATCTTATGTCTGCTCTGAAGTTGAACCCATTGACTCCAATAAGTGTATAGGATTGCACCCTTACCGTACATATTTGCCGAACTCATTGGGGCTTAAACTTCCCGAGTCAACGGGCATCGGCTCAAGCTGTGTTGGTGGGGAATTTCCTCCATTCATTTTACGAAGTTCTTTTCTGTAGGACTCCTCCTTTCTGCAAAAAGGGCTTTGGGGAGGGGACGGGGGTGTGGGGCCAAGGAGGAGTGCTCTGAAAAAGAAGTGACATGTTGATTTTGGAGAGAATGCTTTTTACTCTCCTCTCTTTTGTCCAAGGGGACAAAAGAGAAACAAAAGTGTGTTTCTCGGTGGCAGGGCAGAAGCATGGGATCGGTTTTCCTTTATGGGGGAACCGTAACAAAGCATTGGTTGAGGTTCAGCTAGGTTGCTGCTAGCCTGCATTGGCTCTGCATTCCTTTTAGGAAAATGGAGGGAAAGGGAAACAAGTTTCGCTAAGGTCTCTTGTTTAAGTCTGAAGAAATCTGAGATGCTCCCCTCCTCCTTTTCCTCCTGTCGCTCCCTTTCTCCCTCTTATTTGTACTGCAGTTTTAATTCAGAACACCTGAGAAAACAGCCAGCACTGAAATATGTAAAGCAGGCATACACCATCTCTCTTCCCCCCACCAAGGGCCCTTCCACACAGCCCTTTAGCCTGGGATATCAAGGCAGAAAATCCCACATTATCTGAGTGCGGACTCAGATAACCCAGTTCAAAGCAGAGATTGTGGGATTTTCTGCCTTGATATTCTGGGATCACTATCCCTCCCTCCCAAGAAAGACATCTATGAGTCCTTTTGGAGATTGTATTAAGGGAAGGGGTGGAAACTTGACTAATTTCCCCTCCACGTCTGTAGGGCTCCAGATCTAGATTGTTTGCAGTTCGGCTTTTAAAATTCCATGGAAAATGAATGGATTGCCAAAGTGCTTCCACACAGCCCTATAACCCAGAATATCAAGGCAGAAAATCCCACAATGTCTGCTTTGAACTGGGTTATCTGAGTCCACACTGCTATATATTCCAGTTCAAAGCAGATAATGTGGCATTTTATTTAGCTCTGTGGAAGGGGCCTAAGATTAATCTGGGTTGGGAGACAAGAAAACTGTTCTAACCCTGCTTGCTCAAAGGAAGTGCTGTTGTGATTAATGGAAGTTTATCCTGTAGGAAATGTGTGTCAGGTTGCAATTTTCGCTTTGGCTGCTTCTACACCACCATATAAAATCCAGATAACATTTGAACTGGATTATATGGCAGTGTAGACTCATATGATCTAGTTCAAAGTAGATAATGTGGGTCATCTTCTTTAAAAATCTGTAAAAGGCGCCTCTGCGTGCTTGACACAATCAAGTGCAAAGTTGAGTATCTGCAAAACTGATATATGTTGTCAAAGGCTTTCATGGCCAGGATCACTGGATTGCTGTGAGTTTTCCGGGCTGTACGGCCATGTTTCTGGAACATGGCCATCCAGCCTGGAAAACTCACAGTAACCCAAAATTTACATACTTGAAATAAATTCTGCTCAGGGATAGTTTGGAATTAGCATATATAGGATTTGCTCTTGTGCCCTATGGAAATCAGCGGGATGACATTAATTGTAATTTCAGCAGCATAATCCCACGCCCCTTTTTCACTGCTTTATACCCCAGAATCTGATCCCAAATTATCTGTTTAACCCAGATTATCTGGCACAGGAGACATAACCCCCGTCTACACTGCCCTACAATCCAAATTATCAAATCAGATGATCCACATTATCTACTTCAATTAGATGAGTCTACACTGCCATATAATCCAGTTCAAAGCACATAATCTGGATTTTATATGGCAGTGTAGAATAATAATAATGATAATAATAATAACAACAACTTTATTTATGTCCCACCACCATCTCCCAGAAGGAGCCCCCGGTGGTGCAGTGGGTTAAACCGCTGAGCTGCTAAGCTTGTTGACCGAAAGGTCACAGGTTTGAATCCAGGGAGCGGCGTGAGCTTCTGCTGTCAGCCCCAGCTTCTTCCAACCTAGCAGTTTGAAAACATGCGAATGTGAGTAGATCAATAGGTACCACTCCGGTGGGAAGGTAACGGCGTTCCATGCAGTCATGCTGGCCATATGACTTTGGAGCTGTCTACGGACAACGGCGGCTCTTCGGCTTAGAAATGGAGATGAGCACCACACCCCAGAGTCGGACACAACTGGACTTTATGTCAGAGGGAAAACCTTTACCTACCATCTCCCAGAAAGGACTCGGGGCAGCTTACAGAGCAGCACATAATAGCGCCATAAAATACAAATAAATTACAAAAAGGGCCTCATATAATCCGATTCAAAGCAGATAACTTGGGAGCAGATCCTAGGATATAAATACAGTGTAGAAGCAGCACCAGGTCCATAATTTAACACATCCTAGATTCTCACAGTGGTGTGCAGTGGAGATGTGTCTGTGTGTCTCTGAAAAAAGACTTATTCCTGAAAGAGAGTAAGATTGCAATCTTTACAAGTGGTACGTCCAAGCTAACTGCTTTGCCTCAGCCCTAAAATATGCAATTCTTTAAAACATCCAACGGCAGCAAAGTATTCCATCTTTCACTTCCACTGCTGTTTTATTAAATATACTTCTAAAATGAAACCAAGCAAAATGTTCCACATCAGCATAGATAAAATCTTCCTTGGCGAGGGGCCCCCAGTCAAAGAAATGCAGCTTCACTTCCAAAGGGTTTCGTATTTCTTCTTGAAATATGAAGCAATTCCATTTCCCTTCCTCTTAACGTTGTGTTTTTTTGCTCTTAAAAAATATCTGTGAATGTAAAAAGTTTGGCTTATTTTTGCCCTAAAGACGAATTGGAGAGTTGTAATGAGTCCTGGTTTTGTTCTCCTTCCCTTCCCTTCCTCCCAAGACTGTAATAATTTCCCTTTTCTTCTGTTTTTTAATGAATGGAGATGAAGTTTCTTTTAAAAACAAGACACTGAGCAGCTTTGGTAAGGGAGAAAGAGAAGCCATTCGATGGGAATGGTGTGAGTGTACCATTTTTGGGGATCGAACAGAGAGCGAGAGAGAAGCTCTCCACTCATTCTGCAGTGCATAAGATCTACTTGCCGAGGTCTTCATTTGTTTGGGAGCCTTTTCAAGTGCGTGCACAACAAGGCAAGCTGAAAGTGCAGTGTGTATATTTTGTAAATCTGACATTTTTGTAAGAAAATATATATGTATTTATGTTTTTACTTACTTTTTGGTTTTGCTTTTGGAAGGTCTGTGTAAGACTCATCTCTTTATGTACAGAACACAAGAAATAAATGGATTTTTAATACAATGGGGTTTTTTTTTTCCAAAAGAAACATATTAATTATTCTTTTTTCCAATACCGTTTTGTTAAATCACCGAGTTCCTTAAACATTTGTTAATTCTAGGTGGCCTCAAGCAAACTGTTCTCTTTGAAGATTTGCAACTATTCAGCTGAATGAAACTTCTGAATCAATACGCATAGGACTGCACTCTGAAATAAGGCAAACACAGTGGGTCTGCTTTCTACACTGTCCTTATATCCCAGGATCTGATCCCAGGTTATCTGCTTTGAAATGGATTATATGAGTCTCCACTGTGATAGATAATTTGGGATCAGATCCTGGGATAAAGGGCAGTATAGACCTAGCCTGTGTGTCTACTCAAAAGGAAGCCCAGATTAATTCCAAGAGGGCATTACTTTGGAGATTTTTTATTTATTTATTTATTTATCGTGTCAGGAGAAACCAGACATTTGTATTACATTTTTAACACAACACACAGACAGACAGACAAAACACAAAGTTTGCAAGCTTGGTAGTTGATTAAACATCCTTTGACCAGTATCTGGCCACTTGGAGTGCCTCTAGTGTTGCTGCAAGAAGGTCCTTTGGAGATAGAATGATTAGAATTGCCTTTCCTGCGGACTGGGAATGATGAACATTGTAGTCACCAAACTAGCTTGGTATGAAGCAGTTACCGGTTGCTACCAGACAGACCTTATATACCAGGTTCTGATCCCAGGTTTTCTGCTTTAAACTGGATTATATGAGTTCGCACTGCCAGATAATCTGGGATAAACAGAAAACCTGGGATCAGATCCTGGGATATAGGGCCTGTCTGGAAGGGCCCTCATACAAAGTAGGTCTAGCTGAAACCAGCAGACATCCTTTCATGCAAATACACACAGGATTGCACGCTGGCCTCTGTTGAGGTCCGTATTTACATCTGCATTAGACCAAAGGATGTTATAGACCCTTTCTACACTGCTGTATAATGCAAATTATCAAAGATTTAATAAAATTTTCCCATGTTTTTAATGCTAGGACCAATTGAGAAATGACATTTACAACCTAGGGACAAAAAACGTGTTACATAGTATTATTCAGGAGCCCCTGGTGGCAAAGTGGGTTAAACCGCTGAGCTGCTGAACTTGCTAATCGGAAGGTTGCAGGTTTGAATCTGGAGAACGGCGTGAGCTCCCGCTGTTAGCCCCAACTTCTGCAAACCTAGCAATTCAAAAACATGTAAATGTTAGTAGATCAATAGGTACTGCTTTGGCGGGAAAGCAATGGTGCTCCATGCAGTCATGCTGGCCACATGACCTTGGAGGTGTCTACAGACAACGCCGGCTCTTCGGCTTGAAAGATGGAGATGAGCACCAATCCCCAGAGTCGGACATGATTGGACTTAACGTCAGGGGAAAATCTTTACCTTTTCCTATAGTGTTATTTGTCTTGCGGTCCTAATGAGGTCAATAGGACATTGCAGGCAGTGAATTCTGTTTTCTCTGTTATATTTTTAACCAGTGAGCCCAAAGCATGGATTTCACCCCCATCACCAACTTCAGCTACACAACAGCCCTGTGAAGCAGAAAAGGTGGAGAGAGACAACTGACCCAAGGTTACACATTGAGGTTGGTGGCTCAGCAGGAGCTACAACTGGGACTTCCCAAGTTTCTCACCGCTATACCATATCTAAAGTCTAGGTCCACTGTAGATAAGGGATGGATACAGACTTACCTATACCTGGGTTATATGACTGTGTGGATGGCTCCAAAGTGTTGTCCAAGCATGCCAATTTTGTATCCAGCCCAGTGATCTAAAGCACATTCATCATGCAAGTCTGCAGTCTTTTTATCTCCACAGCAGAAACCATATATGGTGATGATGAACACATAGGATTTTCACTGAGCAGCTATGGGCCCTTCCACACAGCCATATAACCCAGAATATCAAGGCAGATCATCCACAATATCCGCTTTGAACTGGGTTATCTGAGTCCATGCTGCCATATGATCCAGTTCAATATGGATATTATACAGCTGTGTGGAAGGGGCCTGCATCCTTTAAAATGCACTCACCCTATACAAACCATGTGACAAGATACTTGGCTTTATTAGCTCAAATAACTGATTTTCAAGCCCTAGTAGATATTAATTTTCCAGTTCTCCAAGCTCCCATGCCTTCTGAGATGTGGAACAAGCTTATTAGAAGAGAGCCTTTACAGAGCAATATTCACTCCAGAGACACTCACCTGATGCCAGCTCTAACTGTCTTTCTCAAAGTAGGCAAAAATCCTTCTTCAGATTTTTCCAGGCTTCTAAAGTTATACCAAACTACCTTGGCACTTTAGCTTCCCAACTCTACTTTTTAAGTTTTACTTCTGGCAATATAAATATTATCTGATACATCCTAATAGAGATCCAGTGCCGTGGTTTCGTAGACTTCGATTCTGGAGACTAAAGTTCAAACCCACGCTCAGCCGGGGAAACCTCCCTTGGGTGAGTCACACTTTCTCAGCCTCAGATGAAGTCACAATTCATGCCAAGAATACCTTCTGATGAACACATCATGCCAAGAACACTCTGCGATGGGTTCACCTTAACTCAGAAATAACATGAGTGCACCCCAACACCACAACAGTAGCTCCTGGCGATGCATAATCTCATGACATAATCTCCCTTCCTCTCTGTACAATGACCTTCACCTATCTAGATCAGATGTTCTGGGGCTCTCAGGCCATGCTAACAGTCATTAGGAAGGGTTGGTGAGTGTCTAGCAACCTCTGGAAAGTGACACCTTCCCTCCTTGGTTTGTATAGGAAACAAGGATGGGGGACATGTGGCCCTCCAGATGTTGACTAGGGCCCCTTCTACATTGTCATATAATCCAGAGTATCAAATAATCCACATTATTTGCTTTGAATTGGATTATATGAGTCTTCACTGCCATATAATCCAGTTCAAAGCAGATTATCTGGATTTTATATGGTAGACCAGTGTTTCTCAACCTGGAGGGGTCGTGAGGGGGTGTCAGAGGGGTCGCCAAAGACACAGTATTTTCTGTTAGTCATGGGGGTTCTGTGTGGGAAGTTTGCCCCAATTCTGTCGTTTGTGGGGTTCAGGATGCTCTTTGATTGTAGGTGAACTATAAATCCCAGTAACTACAACTCCCAATGTCAAGGTCTATTCTCCCCAAACTCCAGCAGAGTTCACATTTGGGCATATTGACTGTCATGCCAAATTTGGTCCAGATCCATATTGTTTGAGTCCACAGTGCTCTTGGGATGTAGGTGAACTACAACTCCAAAACTCAAGGTCAATGCCCACAAACCCTTCCAGTATTTTCTGTAGGTCATGGGAGTCTGTGTGCCAAATTTGGTTCAATTCTATCATTGGTGGAGTTCAGAATGCTCTTTGATTGTAGGTGAACTATAAATCCCAGCAACTACAACTCCCAAAAGACAAAATCAATCCACCCCCAACACCAGTATTCAAATTTGGGTGTATCGGGTATTTGTGCCAAATTTGGTCCAGTGAATGAAAATACATCCTGCCTATCAGATAGTTACAGGATTCGTTTCGGGGGGGGGGGGGGCTGAATTTTTTTTCAGGGGAGGTTTCGGGGGGGGCTGAGTTTCGGGGGGGGCTGAGTCTGAGTGAAAGAGGGTCTAGCCTAGCAAACCTTTTGTATCATTACCCCAATACCCACATGCATATGGGATATATTGAGTATGGTGATCAGATCATGATATGAATAAACATAACAGTTTAAATAATGCACCAGTAAGGCCTTTTCGCGAACCACCATGAGAATTTCGAGGGGGGCTGAAGCCCCTCAAGCCCCCCCCCCCCCCGGCTACATGCCTGCATCCTGCATATCAGATATTTACATTATGCTTCAAAACAGTAGCAAAATTACAGTTGTGAAGTTGTCATGAAAATAATTTGCTGGTTGGGGGTCACCACAACATAAGGAACTGTGTTAAGGGGTCGCAGTATTAGGAAGGTTGAGAAACACTGGTGTAGAAGGAGCCTGAGCCATAGACTGGAGAAGATGGCTTTTAGGTTACAACTCCCAGAATCCCCCAGGCAGCATGACCATTGGAACTGCAGTCTAAAGAAGCACCTTTTCTATTCTGCTCTAAACTGGAAATGCATCCTCATCCCACAAAAGCATAATTTGGGAATTTTGATGAGAAGTGAGCCTTTCAAAAAAAGGTTGCCTCACATTTCTGGGTATCCTTACAAAAGGAATTTGATTTCCAAGAAATACTTGTGAGGCTATTGCTATTCTGCGTTTCAAAACTTTTTTCTATGTTTCACTTTCTTTCAGGAAGTTTCTCCATTCAGGGTTTTCCCACCCCCTTGTCTTTCCAAAAGATGAAAGGCATTGGTGGCCAATTCATTACATCCTGACTTTGTTTGCTAGTTGTATTGTTAGTGTGTAGGATTACGTGTGGGATTTAACTTCTGTGTGGACACACCAGATTGGATTCTTAATCTCACTGAACAACACAAGGATGGAGTTTTGAGTAAACAGGTCTTAATTTGAACAGCACCCCTTTATTAAAGCTGACATTTCAAATACTGGTGACAATGGGTCTGTTGACAGTGGTTCTGAATTACTTTGAAACACTGTGGACAGAATTGTTAAATTCAAACATGGTTTTGATGGCAGAATAACGTTAACCATTAAACCAGAGGTGAGTAGCCTATGCATTCCCAAATATTTGTGTACGGCAACTCCTATCCCTCACCTTTGGCTCCCATCTGTAATGACAGTTAGGAGTCATTATTATTATTATTATTATTATTATTATTATTATTATTATTATTATTATTATTTACACAACAATATGAGTACACAGCAAACAAGATCACTCTGCTGGCTGTTGTATTGGATCACATGTCAGACACTTCCCAAGTATCAAGGACTGTGTGATGTATTGGTGAATAATGTGTGCAGATCCAAATAGGGTGGTCTTTTGCTATTGTTGTTGTTGTTGTTGTTGTGTTGCTTTATGTCC